TCAATAGTTATGAACATGTATTTATTATGATTTTTATAAACACAAGCATAAGTGTTATATGTTTATATGTTTTGACATATGTTATATGATCCATGTGAACATAATCAAACAACATAAGCTATATGACATGATATAATTGATTATATGTACATGTGATACATGGTATGTGATAAGACATACATGATTATAAGAAAAATGATATGAGTATATGAATATATGTTGAATTATTGATGATATGGATTTGTAGAACATATAAATATATGTTTTGACATATGTTATATGATCCATGTGAACATAATCAAACAACATAAGCTAGACATGATATAATTGATTATATGTACATGTGATACATGGTATGTGATAAGACATACATGATTATAAGAAAAATGATATGAGTATCTGAATATATGTTGAATTATTGATGATATGGATTTGTAGAACATATAAATATTTAAGCATATGTTATGTGATATGAGAGCTATAGGTATAGTTGGCATGCCAAGAGTCGAGGGTTATATGAGGTCCTTCGGGACATACATTAGGTCCTTCGAGATAAATTTCATATGTTAGTAATATACATGACCACATAAAATATAGAAAAGAGTTTACTTTCTTATAAGATATCATGTTATTATTGGTTAATGGTTGATCATATGTTATATGATTAAATAGTAAAATGATAATTGTAATTGCATATGGAATGACTGAACTGCATGTTCATACTTTAGGAAATGCATTATTTTATTATATTATATGCCTTATTAAGTCTATGACTGAGCGTGTAAGCGTTTTACACGTAGGTACTGAGAAACAGGAAGATCAGACCTAGGATATGCAAAACAACATACCTCCACTCAAAGATCAGATCAGAAGTAAATTACACAGTATGTATTTTGTTGTATCAAATGTGTTGGCATGTAGACAAATTGTGATTTACATAATTTGACCAGATTTTGTAATATTTTGATTATACTTATGTAAATGGTTAACTTTATGTTAATGAAAGTTTAAATTTTTCATGATTTCTATAAATGTAAATGTTTTGAATAGTCAATGTGAGACCTCGGATTCGTATCTGGGTCAGATACGGGTTGGGGTGTTACATTTAATGGTATCAAATCTATGGTTTAGCCGATTCTAGGTATAAACCGAAGTCTAGAGTGTCTTTAAATGTGTACATGCTAACATAATAGTGAGAAATTCTGATCTAATAAGAGTAACAAGTATGTTGTTTTGCTAATAGAGTTATATGTTTATATCTTATTAGATGTCCGAACATGATATCTCTCGAAGTAAAACAAAAGATGATAGGCCAGCAGAGAGTAGTAATTCACCTGCCCTGGCCAGGAAGGTAAAGAAGAAGCATCTTCAGGGGTGCCTGTGCAAGATCAAGATGTCTTCTTTAGGACGTTAGATGTTATCCTGACGCGTTTCCAATCTCTTGCTCCCTCAACTCAAAGAATGAATATAGCAAAAGAGTTAAAGAGATTAGGAGCTCATGAGTTCAAAGGTGAAGCAGATGAATGTCCTATTGCTACGAACCTTTGGCTCAATGATGTGAAGATCATGTTAGATGGACTCCACTAATCTGATGTGGAGAAGTTAGATGGAGTGGTCTCATTGCTTCGTGAGCAAGCAAGAATCTGGTGGATGAATATCACCTTGAGGATGACAAGTGACCAAGTGACATGGTCCTTGTTCTTAGAAGAGTTTAAGCACAAGTATATAGGAGATCAATTCATTAACCAGATGAAGCAAGAATTCTTAAACCTGAAGCAATTGAGTCGCACTGTGTATGAATACGAGTACGAGTTCAATAAGTTAAGTCGTTTTGTGGCTGAGTTGATTCCGACGGAGAATGATTCGTGTGAATGGTTTGTGGAGGGCTTGCGCCCGAGGTTGAAAAAATGTTGATCGTATTGAACTTGTCCTCGTTTCAAGAGGTAGTTAATCATGCTAAAGCTCTAGAGAGAGCTCAAAATGAAAGGTTTGGGGAGAAAAGAGCCCAACTGTCTAAAAGAATAGGGGCTTAATCAAGTTCTACACCACCCAAGAGATGTAGAGATTCTGGTTTTCGATCTCATGTAAGGTCTGAGTTAGTGGAATCTTTCGCTAAAGGATCAAATCAGATGAGAGCTAGTCAGACTCAATTAGTAAGATCTAGTGTTGGGAGAGCAAATCAGGGTCAAGTCAGACAATGTCAACTTTGTGGAAGAAGCCATAGCGGAATATGTAGAGTATCTTTGGAGCTTGTTTTCGATGTGGGGGAAATGGGACATTTCATGCGAGATTATCAATTGAGGGTTGGAGAGACTGCTCAGCCGGAGCGATCTGCTTCGATGTCTCAGAGAGGAATGGGAAAGGGTAGAGGAAGAAGTCAACATGAATCCTCTACTCAACAAGAAGTACACTCCACTGCTCGAGTGTATAACATAAAGACCAATGAAGAGCATGATGATCCAGAGATAATTGTAGGTACTTTCCTACTGTATGATAAATGTATTATGGTATTGATTGATCCAAATTCCACATATTCATATAAATTGGTGAGAGAATTGAGAATTAAATTAGAAGCCACTAATAGTGATGTGGTAATGACAAATTCATTAGGGCACAATGCTAGGGCAAATAGAGTATGTAGAGGGTGTCCCATACGAATTCAAGGAATTGAATTCCCTGCTAATCTGATGGAATTACCCTTCAAGGAATTTAAAGTGATACTGGGAATGGACTGATTATATCATTATCATCCTAACATCGATTGTAGACTGAAAAGAGTAACGTTGACCAGTTCAAAAGGATTAGAAGTTATAGTGTTTAGTGAAAGATGTAATCCATTGGCAAATGTAATATCAATGATGTTAGCTAAGAAGTTATTACTACAAGGATGTCAAGGTTTCATTGTTAACGTGATGAACACTAGAACCAAGAAGAAAGGGTTAGAAGAGATTACTGAAAGGATTTTATAAGACCAAGTGTGTCGCCTTGGAGAGCTCCAGTGTTGTTCGTTAAAAAGAATGATGATTTGATACGTCTCTGCATTGATTATAGGCAGCTTAACAAGGTGACTATCAAGAATGAGTATCCACTCCCTAGAATTGATGATTTGTTTGATCAGTTGAAATGAGCTTCAATTTTCTCTAAAATTGACTTGCGGTCTGAATATCATCAATTGAAGATTCAAGAGAAAGATATTTCTAAAACAACTTTTAGAACAGGATATGATCACTACGAGTTCATTTTTATGCCGTTTGGAGTTACGAATGCACCAGCTGCTTTCATGGATCTGATGAATAGAATATTTCAACCTTACTTGGACCAGTTCATAGTTGTTTTCATTGATGATATATTGGTGTATTCTAAATCGAATGAAGAGCATGGTGCACATTTGAGAAGAGTTCTGCAGATTTTACGAGATAAGAAGTTATATGCTAAATTATCTAAATGTGAGTTCTGGAATGAAGTGTCATTCCTTGTACATATGATTTCTATATAAGGAATTCGTGTTGATCCTCAGAAGATAAAAGCTATTTTAGAATGGGAAGTCCCAAAGAATGTGTCTGAAGTTTGAAGTTTTCTGGGGCTTTGTAGGATATTATCGAAGGTTCGTTAAGGACTTTTCGATGATAGCTTTACCTTTGACTAAGTTAATGAGGAATGATGTTTCATTTGCCTAGACTCCTGAGTGTTAAGAAAGTTTTGAAGCATTAAAGAAAATTTTGACAGAAGCTCCAGTCTTAGTTCAACCTGAATATGGTAAGAATTTTATGGTTTACAGTGACGTGTCCCATAATGGCTTGGGATGTGTACTGATACAGAAGGGGAAAGTAGTGGTATGCATCTAGACAATTGAAACAAATGAAAAGAACTATCCAACGCATGATTTGGAGTTGGCTGCAGTAGTGTTCGCTCTCAAGATTTGGCGTCACTATTTATATGGTGAACGTTGCTACATATACACGGATCATAAGAGTTTGAAGTATCTGATGACTCAGAAAGAATTAAACTTGAGGAAAAGAATATGGGTGAAATTCCTAAAGGTTTATGTAGTAATTGATTTTCATCCGAGAAAAGCAAATGTGGTAGTTGATGTCTTAAGTTGAAAGATGTTTGCAACCTTACGAGCTTTAGATGTCAGGTTGTCATTGGATTGAGATGGTGCAATATGTGCGGAATTGACACTTAAACCAACATGTTTGGATCGAGTTAAAGAAGTGCAAACCAAAGATGAAGAGTATTTGAAGAGGTTACGACAAGTAAAGAATGAAGATATTAATGATTATGAGATTAAGTTTGATGGGAATCTATATTATCGAGGGAGATTAGTAATTCCTGATGATGAAGAATTGAAGAATGAACTGTTAATAGAAACTCACTGTAGTCCATTAACGATGCACCCAGGTGGAAACAAGATGTATATGGGTCTCAAGAGTCAGTATTGGTGGCCAGGATTGAAAAGAAATATTACGAAATTTGTATCCAAGTGTTTGACTTTCCAGCAAGTCAAAGCTGAGCATCAAGTTCTATCAGGACTATTACAACCAATGTTTATTCCTCAGTGGAAATGGGAAAATGTGAAGATGGATTTTGTGATGGGGTTACCCTTAACTCCAAAAAAAAGAGATTCAATTTGGGTGATAGTGAATAGATTGACTATATCATCTCATTTCGTTCTAGTACAAACTAATTTCTCTATGGATAAATATGTTGAACTGTACATCAGGGAGATTATTAGATTGCATGGTGTACATGTTTCAATTGTTTCTGATCAGGATCCTATATTCACATCAAGGTTTTTGAAGACTTTGCATGGAGCGTTAGGAACTCGATTTAACTTTAGCACAGTATTTCATCCTCAGAACGATGGACTTTCCGAGCGGACTATCCAAATTCTGGAGGATATGTTGAGAGCCTATGTAATAGAGTTCAAGGGATCGTGGGAAAAATACTTGCCACTTGCCGAATTTGCTTACAATAATAGCTACCAGTCAAGCATCAAGATGGATCCCTATGAGGCTTTATATGGGAGAAAATATCATACGCCCTTGAATTGGTACGAGCTTAAAGATCGAGAAGTGCTTGATCCTGAGTTGATTCAGGAAGTGGAAGAAAAAATTCAAGTGATTCAGAATAATCTCAAAGCGGTAGCTGATAAACAGAAATCATATACTGATCTTAAGAGAAAAAAGATAGAATTTCAAGTTGGAGATAAAATATTCTTAAAGGTGTCTCCATGGAAGAAAGTGTTGAGGTTTGGACAAAAAGGAAAGCTTAGAGAGTAGGACCAGTGGCATACCAATTGGCTTTGCCACAGGAAATGGAAAAGATTTATAATGTTTTCCATGTTTCCATGCTTCAGAGATATAGGTCTGGTCCTTCCAATATTATGACACTAGAAAAGATAGAAGTTCAGCCTGACCTGACTTATGAGGAAGAACCGGTACAAATATTGGCTCATGAGGTGAAACAGTTAAGGAACAAGACTATTCTATTGATAAAGGTATTATTGAGGAATCACAAGGTAGAGAAAGCAATGTGGGAGCGTGAAGAGGACATGAGGAATCAGTAACTTCAGAATTTAGTAACTAAAGTAGATAAATTGAATAGTTTAGGGACATATGGAAAATTTTGTGTAGGACTGAATAACCAAAAATGATGATTAAAAGGGAAAAATAGTCATTTGATCAATAAATGAATTAAAAAATTATTATGGTGAGGATATATACACGTGGAATTGAAGGAAAAGGGAAAAGAAAGATTTTTCCAAAGAACTCTCTTCTTCCTTATTCAGTCGTAAGCTATCATAACAAAGGTGAGTTTTCTTGATAGTTGATTTTGAATTGAATTTAAGTTTGGTTTATTTTCCTTAGATGATACTTAAGCTTAAGGAAAGCTTAAGTTATCTTAAAAATCAAAAGATGAAAAGTTAAGAATGATTAAAGATGAGAGGTTTTGATATGATCTTGATTATGTGTTCCGAGTCATATACGATGTTATTCGATCGTGATTCTAGTAAGAACTTTGCAGTGGTTTGATTGAAGACTAAAACTGCACAAACAACGTTACAAGAAAGAAATTGATATAAGTAAATTGAAAATGAAAGGTTGTTGGTTATGATAAAGTGGTTTGATGGTGATGGAAGAGTAATTGTTGTTGTGGTTTAAGGAAATAAAAGATAATGGAAAAAGTGTAGTGATGATAATAATTTATAATGTGGAAAGAATAGAAGTATGGTGAAGGTAAAAGATGTTATGGCGTGGGAGATGAATGACAAAATAAAAAGTATGGATTGTGACCCGCTAGATATATGGAGCTAGGAACCAACAATATACAAAGATGGAATTGAAGTGATAGAGGGTGGAACGTGACCCATTAGCTATAGATGAGCTAGAAACCAACGCTATAAAAAATGAAATGGAGGAAGGCTTCAAAACTGACAAGAAACCGATAGAGTTCTAATCCAAGAACTAAAATGAAAGCAACCTTTCAAAGAGTTTATTATGCAAAAAGTTCTAAGTACAAATGCCATGGATATGCCTATTTATAGTGTTGATAGGCACTATATGAAGAGTTTTTACACTTAAAATAAAATAATCACCTAAATGCAATTTAATTCAATTAAATGACTTGTCATTCTTCTTATCCTTTGATGGTTAGCCATGTAAATTGAAAATGAATGAATTAAGCTTTAATTTGAGATAATTCTAGCCTTAAATTCGTCCAAAAAGGAGGGGCGACTCTTGAGCTGCCTTGCCTTGCTTGCAAATGGAAGAGAAAAGGATAAATGAAGTCATAGGATGAATGTGGACATCCTGCATGTCCAAATTGTCTCTTCAAATTTCTTGCTGATTTTATCACTTAATTTGGTGGCTAAATGAAATAAAATCAGGATTCATTTCTTGTTCCCTTGAAGAATATGATCATCATCCTTCAAAAGATGATAAAGGCCTTGAATGCTAAGTTTTGAATGATAGTTATTGCATGTCCCCTTGCTTGAACATGAATGACCTTCAATGGGTGATAACATCAACCTTGAATACCTTGAATTGGTGAATTAAGATGGCCATCAATTGTTTATCTCTTGGTGGAAGATGAAAGGACTATTCCTTGACTCAAACTCATCCAAATCATCATTGTATAAAATTCCCGTAATGAAAATTGTAGCATGAAATGTCTTCAGTAAATCGATCATATCTCAAGCTCCCGATATCGGATTGAGGTGATTCAAAAGGAGTTAGAAAGCTAAAAGGTAGAGGAATAATTTCCAATTGATTTATGGACCCAAAAATGTCTGTATCACATCCAGAATTAGAAGTCATTCTGACTGATATTCTTGCATCTGTTGAAACCGTTCAACTTCTCTCATGCACCTAGACACAAAAGTGAACTTTATTCAATCTTTAATCGAAAACATACATTAAACAGTTAAGAGTTAGTCTAATAAATGAACTAGTTTGATGAATGAACTAGTTTAATTAATGAACTAACTTTATTCAATGAACTAGATGCATGAATGAAGTATCTTACTAAATGATCTAAATATGCATAAATGAACTGCTTCCCTAAATAAACTAGATGTTTTAAATGCAATGCATGTTTAAATGAACAACACACTTATTAAATGAAATTAATGTCATGCAACTAATAAAACTCATGCAATGAATAATATCATATGATAAGCATATCCTAAGAGGTAAATACAAACATATGATAAAATATAGTGCATAAATGAGCAGGTTTATAAGTAAAATCTTGGGAGAGAGTTAGTAAGTAAAGTATGAAGTATTTAGATAGTTGTCCTGGTGTTTTCCTTCTTCTAGTCAAGATATTGTTGCCATGATAAGAGTTTTGGAAGGAGCTATCAGATGGGTTGACAGAACTGCAAACATAGAAGCTGATAGCTTAGCTAAGGCTGATATTGGGTAGTTATTGTTTGTTGGGTTGGGATATTGTTTAATTGAGTGAAAGATGTGTTATTTGGTGTGTTTCGGGTTGTTTTGTAAGGGGCTTCTTTGTTTTAAACATTATGTAATCTTTTACTTATTAATGAATTATGAGGCACTCTTTTCCTCCTTCCGTTGATTAAGGAACACCAATTGGTGTTCCGTTAATTATGAAGGGGGTTTTTAACGGGGCCTTAACTTCCTATAAAAAAAATTAGAACATGTTGGAAAATTGGTAGGATTCTTGATTTCAAGATATATAGGAGGAGATTTGGAAGATAAGGGCGTGTTATATGAATATAAATTGATTAGAGTATATGTTTGTGAGTTTTAGAGTATGAAAGGGTGGAGAAATGAAAGGTTTAGATTAATATGGGTAAATTTCGGGTTTAAAAGTGATTTCTTAGCTATGGGTATCATCAAGTACTGATACTTCAAGGGTAAAAGAGTGATTTTTGGTATACGTGTATCGATACTGGTTGAACAGTATATACCATAAGCCAAAATTTGACAAGTTATTCAAGGGGTATCGATACAAAATGGATAGTATTGATACCCAGGGTATCGATACCATAGATCATGTATCGATACCATTTTGGAAATAAGGATCACAGAATCGAAATTGGGTATCGATACCTAGACTTGGTATCGATACCATAGATAGGGAAGTAACCATACAGGGGGTACCGATACTACTCAAAGTGGAAAATTTTATTGAGCATTTCTTTTAGCTTGGGTTATTAAGGATCAAAGTATGATACTTAGAATTCTATATGCATATCAAATGTATGATTGTGTAGATATCGAGCATAAGCAAGTTCCGGAACGACCGAAAAGTTAGGAACGATTAAGAAGGATAAAGTCATAGAAGTTGATTTGGATTCAGTGAGGCTAAGGTGAGTGCATGTTATAGTATATATATAGTTTTATGGAAATAAGACATGTGATAAGTCTATTTCCTATGTTAAATTTATGGTTTAATAGTTATGAACATGCATATATTATGATTTTTATAAACACATGCATAAGTGTTATATGTTTATATATTTTGACATGCTATATGATTTATGTGAACATAATCAAACAACATAAGCTATATGACATGATATAGTTGATTATATGTACATGTGATATATGGTATGTGATAAGACATACGTGATTATAAGAGAAATGATATGAGTATATGAATATATGAAGAATTAGTAATGATATGGATATATAGAACATATAAATATTTAAGCCCATGTTATGTGATATGAGAACTATAGGTATAGTTGGCATGCCAAGAGTCGAGGGTTATATGAGGTCCTTCGGGATATATACGAGGTCCTTCGGAACATACATGAGGTCCTTCGGGATAAATTTCATATGCCACTAAGTGGAAATTATACGAGTTGTGGTGACAGCATATGTTCACAACCTCAAAGTACTTATATACCTTAAGTTCTCAGTAATATACATGGGAACATAAAATATATAAAAGAGTTTACTTTCTTATAAGATATCATGTTATTATTGGTTAATGGTGGATCATATGTGATATGATTAAATAGTAAAATGATAACTGTGATTGCATATGGAATTACTGAATTGCATGTTCATACTTTAGAAAATGCATTATTTTATTATATTATATGCCTCACTAAGTCTATGACTTAGCGTGTAAGCGTTTTACACGTAGGTATTGAGAAGCAAGAAGATCAGACCTAGGATCTGCATAACATAATATCTTCACTCGAAGATCAGATCAGAAGTAAATTACATAGTATGTATTTTGTTGTATCAAATGTGTTGGCATGCAGACAAATTGTGATTTACATATTCTCCGATCAGCTTTTATAATATTTTGATTATACTTATGTAAATGGTTAACTTTATGTTAATGAAAGTTTAAATTTTCCATGATTTCTATAAATGTAAAAGTTTTGAATAGTCAATGTGACACTTCGGATTCATAACTGGGTCGGGTACAGGCTGGGGTGTTACACGTCCTTCCTGCAGAATATGAACATCCTCTTAGCTCCAGTCCGAAGAGTTCTATTCCCATGGATCCTCTGAAACATCTTCTTTAGCCATATCTGTTAGCTTAGGGAAAATATCCTCAGAACATTCAACCTTAATTTTGATCATGAACTTTCTCCCATACGTATTAATAATGATATGTTCTGGAATATCAAATGGACGCTTGACCCTGAGAAGCATCTGTGCCACTCTACAGTCCACTCTTTGGGCAGTTTCCTCTTGAATCTTCACAAGCTTACCCCATCTGGATGCCAAAATAGTAAAAAAAGGGACCAACCAATAGTTTAATGGAACTCTTATCATGGAGATTGCACAATAAGCTAAGGTGATACTCCCATCATCCAGAACAGGCTTCAATCTTTCAAACCAGAAAGACGAAGCCTTCCACTTTTCTTCTATCGCAATTTTTCTCTCCAACATCGACTGGAAAACTACCAGACAAGAATTCTTTGTGAAGCCCCACCTTACCACCTTAGCATCAAAACCCTCATTCCATATGGCTTTCTGCACAAAGTCCAATTCAAAAATCGCCTTGCAAATACCAGTAAGGGATGATCTCAGCCATACCCTTTCCTCCACCAGAATAAAGACTTTCATAGGTTTTTTCACCTCCTTCTTATTTCTATGACTACTGTAACATCCTCTATACCGGGTTAGTGATTAATTTGTAAAGTTTAAGTATTTGGTGATTTAAGTAGAATGATGGAAGAGTTCAATGACTTATTTGAGTTATTTTGTGTAGGATTGAATTATAAAGAAGGAAGATTAGAAGGATAAAATGGTTTTTTATAGCAATATAATTATTGGGGTTAGTATTATATTAACCACGTGGATGTATAGGAAATTAAAAACAAGCTTCCAGAGTCATCTTCTTCTTTCTTCTTCTTCATACGTGCGACCCAAGCTAAGGTAAGATTCTCTTGTTAGTGAATTTCTTGATGAATTTATGGTTGATTCATGACCATTAGGCAATAGTTAAGCTTAAAGGAAGTTTAAATTGTTTTAAAACCTCAAGATGAGAAGTATATGAAGAATTAAAGAAAGGAAGTAGAAAAGTGAAATCTTAGATTAGAGTTCATAATAAGAAGTGGAAGTGAGATTTGACTTGTCATCAAGTTAATTAAGGGATATGAAGTGTTAGAATTGGAATTAGAACACCTTGAAAATTTAGTGTGATTCTTGAATGCCATGTAAATGATGGAATTTTGGGTTTAAAGAAGTGATTATGGAATAGAAATGAGTTTAAATATGTGTATGGAAGTTAGGAATATTAAAGGAAGTAAAATATGAAGGTTTAAGCTGAAATAAAGCGAATTTCGAGCTCAAAATAAGATTTCTGGGCTAGGGGAATCGATACCCATTCAAGGGGAATCAATACCCCCTCAAATGAATATGAATTTCCAGAACGCTAGAGGGGAATCGATACCCCCAGGGGGGAACCGATTCCCCCATAATGAAAAAAAAAAGAAGAAAGAAGAGAGACTAAACTATTAATCCCTTAAATTAGTAGGCTATTAGAGGTTAATTTCAAGATTTAGGCATCTGATAATCATCTTGAAAATTTTGCTTATGTAGATATTGAGCCTAATCGAGTTTCGGAACCATCTACAAGTAGGATCAATCGAGGGAAAGACAAAGAAATCTAGGTGAGTGCATATGCATAGCATGAATATGTATTTTATTCAGTTCTAGACTTGTGATAAGTCTACATTCAATATTTTGATACATGATCGTAGTTCATATGATGATATATGACATGAATCCATACCATATGCATTATGGGACATGAATATGAAAGAAAAAGTTATATGAGTTATATGATAAAGGTATGAAAATAATATGTCTACGTGATATAAATTAGATAAATTTTGGAAGCCCATGTTATGTAAATGAGAACTATAGGTATAGTTGGCATGCCAAGGGTAGAGGGTCTATGTGGTCCTTCGGGACATATATGTATTCTTTGGAACATGTGTGAGGTCTGGTGAGACACCTACTTGATCCTTGGTATATGAATATGATTCTTAAGGAATGATATGTGGTCCTTCGGGACATATATGTATTCTTTGGAACATGTGTGAGGTTTGGTGAGACACATACTTGATCCTTGGCATATGTACATGATTCTTAAGGAATGATATGTGGTCCTTATGGACATTATTATATGGCACTACGGTGCAATTCTATGCGGCACTCCGGTGCAATTCTAAGTAGCACTTAGGTGCAATTATACGAGCTGTGGTGACAGCATAGTGCACAACCTCACAATACTCACATACCTTAGGTTCTCCGTATGGTACCATGGGCTAATGAACTTACTAAGGCGAACTTATGAATGTGAATTTGATAAGTATATGTGTAAGAAACATGGTTTTGGTTATTGCATTGTTTACATACATCTTATTATTGCAACCCACCTCATTTTGGCAATTACTTTATATTTATTGATATTATTATTATATTGGCTCACTAAGTCGATGACTTAGCGTGTGAGTGTTTCACACGTATGATCCGATAAAGTAGACGATCGAGGTTAAGCAGCTGAACAACATTACTCCTGCAACTATCAGATCAGACTTATATTACTATATGTATATTATTTTATTTTTCGTAATATAAGTTCAAGTATTTTACTATTATTTATAATGAGTCGTGTTTTAAAAGTCAATGTAATATCTCTGACTAGTATCCGGGCTGGGGGTGTTACATTTAATGGTATCAGAGCTATGGTTTAGCCGATTCTAGGCATAAACCAGAGTCTATAGAGTCTTTAAATGGAATATATGCCAACAAATAGTGAGAACTTCTGATCTGGTATAGTATGAGTATGTTGTTTTGCTAATAGAACAATGTGTTTATTCTTATTAGATGTCCGGACATAATAGCTCCCGAAGTGAAGCGGGAGAAGATAGGCCTGCTGAAAGCAGTAATTCACCTGCCCTGGCCAGGCAAGGTGAAGAA